GGTCGGCCACGCGGCCCCGCTTACCTGCTGCACGCCGAGGAAGTGGTAGAAGTTGAGCTGCACCTCCTCCACCAGGTCGAACAGCTCCAGGTCGGCGCTCTCCCAAGCCCGGGCGGGCACCGACTGCAGCAGCAACGGCAGGAGTAGGAGGAGCAGCGGCCGCCGCCGCGAGAGCCCGGGGCAAGGGGCAGCAGCCATAGCGCGCGCGTACCGAGCTCCCTCGTGCTCCACGCGCGGAGCTCCGCGCGAGCCACGCCGCGCCGCGCCGCTCGAGGGCCTCCTCCCCACCGGGGTCAGAACCCGAGCGCGGACGTGGCGGGCGCGCCGGCGGTGGAGAACAGAGGCGTCAGACGTGGACACCGCCGCGCGTGGGGTGAGGCGGCTCAGCCCGCGGGCGCCCGGGACGCGACGGGGACACTCACGCTCTTGGTGCCCGCGGACCCTCACTCCCGGGCCAGGCCGAGGGGGTGGGGGAGCCAGCAGGGCTAGGCTGGGGGCGGGGAGGCGGAGGTCGGGGGAGGAAAGAGGCGCGGCTTTCGCTCGCCACAACCTATCAGGAGTCGAGCTTCCGGTGATATCACGTCTCCTAGCAACCCCGGGAGAGGCTGACAGGACCGGAAGTGGGGTAAAGCCGGCCTCCCCAGGAAGACACCCGAAGGGTTCCAGGTCCCCAGCCTCCCTCGGCCGCGCCCCGCCCCCGCGCCTCCCAAACTGTGCTTAGAGTCTTGAATGGACGCGGGAAACTGAAGCATTACTCAAATACCTGGCACGTTCCCCCCTCCCCCAACGCTCTTCCTTGACATGTTTTCCCTTCACCAGATATTTTAGGTTTGGAAGAGGGCCTTCATTTTGTCCGTAAGGGTCACACGCTACCTCCCCGTCTTCGCAGGGCCCCCCCCCCGGCCCCAAGTTCTTTAGGACCCCCGGGGCAGGCTGTGTTTTTTTTTTTAAGTGACAAGTCAAGTTTCATTCAAAGATGTCTCCCACCCCGCTAAGATTCCACCCCAACATCCCCCGCCTCCGAGTAATAATACTAGATGACCTTGATTGGATCAGTGTTTAAGAATCACCCATAATAGCAACGGAGGTGAGGGTTGGGTGGCCCACGCAGGGCGGACTTGAGGGTCAGGCAGGAGAAAAAGGGCATTGGTGAGTGGTAGGATTGTGGAACCAAGGCGGAAAGTTTCTCGAGTTATCATTCTGGGAATTGAAGGAGAGACAGAGACAGGGGCTGGTGGAAGAAGACAGACAGACAGACAGACAGAAAAAGAGACCAACAAAGAGACAGAGACAGAAAAAGACAGAGATACAAAGACACAGAGAGAGAGACAGACAGAGAAAGATAGAGAGAGAGAGAGACAGAGAGAGAGAGGAAGAGGGAGGGAGAGAGACAGAGAGAGACAGAAAAAGACAGAGGCAGGAATTGGTGGGGAGAGACAGAGAGAGAGTGTGTGTGAGAGAGAGAGACAGAGAGAGAGAGAGGAAGAGGGAGGGAGAGAAAGACAGAGACAGAGAGGGAGAGATAGAGTGAGAGAGAGACAGAGAGAGACAGAGACAGAGAGTGGTGGGGAGAGAGAGACAGAGAGAGACAGAAAAAGACAGAGACAGGAATTGGTGGGGAGAGACAGAGAGACAGAGAAAGACAGAGAGAGTGTGTGTGTGTGTGAGAGAGAGACAGAGAAAGACAGAGAGAGAGAGAGAGAGAGAGAGAGAGAGAGAGAGAGAGAGAGAGAGAGAGAGAGAGAGAGAGATAGGAGTGGTGGAGCAGAGACAAAGAGAGAGAGAGAGAGAGAGAGAGAGAGAGTGTGTGTATGTGGGAGAGTGTGTGTGTATGTGGGAGAGTGTGTGTGTGTGTGTGTGTGAGAGAGAGAGACTACACACACACACACACACACACACACACACACACACACACACACACACACACGGTGGCATGACGGGAGTTGTATGCTTGTACGCAGTCTCGTGGGAAATGTAGTCCTCTCTCCTGTATATGGCATTTCGCCTCCACTACTACCGCTACCCATCCTCTCATATTTGCAGGAGAGGTTGAATAAGAGTTTTAGGAAATTCTCAGTTCCTGTGATTGATGATTTTTCACTGCTCCTCTCATTCTACAGAGCTCATGTTGATTTCTTCTGAGGCTTCTTCCTCCTCTGCTGCAGTCTCCTGATTCCCATCCCCCTCCTGCTTTCTCTTTCATTTGCACAACTGGTCACTCTTGCTCCTGGTTTCCCAGGGCCGGACTGGGACCTCAGAGAAGATCCAGAATGCTTGGCACTTTGCAAAGTTGGAAGTCTGATTGATCCCATTTTGGATCCAGGCTGCTAGACCACGCTGAGGAGGAACATGATAAGGCTAATTTTCCTATCAGTATAAGAACATTGTATTTGATAAAGGTTGGAAAAATACTTGCGATGTGAGGAACTCTGATACATTCTTCCAGTTTTGCTTGGCTATATACCAATCTTTTTTTTTTTCCATGTTAGGTGTTTGTCACTTCTGTAGGACAAATGTGTATCTAAAATGTATTAAGATTGAAAGTTTGTCCATTTAATAATATTGTTAATGTGTTAGGATGGCTCACTATTTAAAGGAACATTGGTGAATTATTTTGTAGTGTGAATACCCACATGGTATCATTGAAGATAGAGTGGAAAGGTATTTCCCATTTCTCTTGAGATTACCACCATCTTTCCAATCACCCTAGTTGACACATCAGTGTCATCCAGAACTTCTTTCTCACTCAGTCTGCATATGCAATCATATACAATCTTGTCATTTCTCCCTCCATAACATCTCTCACATAAGTCCACTTTTCTCTGTTCACACAGCTTATACCTTAGTTCAGCCCCACATTGCTTTTTGTCCTCAATGTGCAATATCTCAATGACTTTCTAATCGGTCTCCTTGCCTCAAATCTCCCCCTTCTCCCCATAATCTATCCTATACACAGTTGCCTAAATTATTTTCCTAAAGTGAAGATCTGACTTATCATTACCCCATCCCCACATTCAGTAAACTACAGGGCTCCCTATTGTCTCAAGGACTGAATTTAAACTCCTATGTTTGGTATTTTATACCTGTACTGGTTCAGACCTGATGCAGGCTGCTTCAGTGGTTCCAGCTCAGTACTGGAGTGAAAGGAGACACTTAAAGATCACATAATATTTCACAAAAGAAATTTAACTACAGACACAACAATAGACTGTAGACTATTCAGTAAGGATATAGCACTGATTCAGTTTGACACAGCATCCTTCTCATTTCCTAGAATGGGTTCCCTTATAATTTCCTGGTCAGTGAAGGATAAAAGCCCAGCACAGGAAGAGTAACAAGCCTGAGGAGTCCCTGACTCATCATGGGCTAGGTTTTTATCTTTAGTCAACCAGGAAGCTATATCAACAGTTCAAATATTAGACCCCTGGACCACTTCTCAAGGATGGTTTTATTGCCCTTTAGAAAAAGAAAAAACTAGACTAGCCAATGTGAGTAGATATTGCTGCTACATTACCTTTTCAATCTGATTACACTTTACTCCTCTCTGACTCTCTGTGGTCAGAGACTGACCAGACTGGCCTCCTTGCTATTCCTCACACGTGACAGACATCCTTTTGTACTGACTGTCTGACATTCCTGGACTGCTTTCCCACCTCACTTTTCCCTAACTTCCTTCTAGAGTTAACTTTGACTGTTTTCTGCAAGAGATCTTTTCTGATTTTTCCTACCCCATCCCCCAATCCCACCTGCTAGTGCTTTCCCTTCTGGAATTATTTTCCATTTATTCTGTTTGTATCTTGAATGTATCTGGTTATTTACATGTTGTCTTCTTCATTAGCATGTGAGCTCCTGGAGAGTGAGTAGGGATTGTTTTTGCCTATCTTTGTCCCCATACACTCTCTCCTCATCTTTGTTTCTTGGAATTCTTGGCTTCCTTCAAGACTCAGATCAAGTGCCACCTCCTGAATGAGCCCTTTCCTGGTCCCCCTAATTGATAATGTGCCTCCCTCTACCTTACTTTGTATCTGCTCTGTATGTGTTCTGTATTTATCTGTATATGTGCATCTTATCTTCCCCATTAAAATGTAATCTTCTCTAGGGCAGGGTAGGGACTTTCACTTTTGTCTCTTATTCCCTACACTTCCACGGTGTCTGGCCCGTAATAAGTACTCAACATATACTTGATTCATTGATCTAGTCCTGCTCTCTGAATTTATAAGTTGAGAAAAACCAAGTCCATAAATTAGGTGTTGTACAAAAGGTCACACTTTGTGTGGGACCATTCCATTTGTGAGAATAGAATCATAAAAATGTTAGGACTGAAGGGCTTTTAGAAACCATCTAGTCCCAAAGTTTTTAACCAATTTTTGTGTCGTGTTTCCCTTTTGTAACCTAGTGGAGCTCTACTTAGAATAATGTTTTTAAATGCATGAAATAAAATATATAGAATTGGAAAATAAACTAATTATATTGAAATAAAGATGTATTTTTTCCCCCATTCAAGTCCATGGATAGCCTGAAATCTGTCCACAGTCTGTGGATCTCAGATTAAGAAGCACAGATCTAGTTCATTGTTTAATTCAGGTTAAGATTCTCTCCCTTTTAGGGTAAATTTGTTAATGTTTGGCTTGGTTTGCTTTTCCATTGAGACTCGGTTTTGGGGCTTGATATTTATGGGGTGTTTTTCCTTTTCTTTTTTTTTCTGTTTCATTGATTCATTTCAAAACCAATAAGTAATAGAGAGATTATTTCACAGTCAGTGGCTAAATTACAGATTTACAGAATGTTGGAGGTGTAAGGAACTATAGAAATATAAAATCATTTAGATCAGCTCCCTCAATTTGTAGATGAGGAAACTGAGACACAGAAAAGGTAAATGATTCCGCCAATAGATTGCAAGCTCCTTTTGAACAGGAACTGTCTTTTGTATCTTTTTGTGTCCCTAAAACTTAGCTTAGTGCCTGGCAAATAGTAGGTGCTTAATAATTGTTTATTAAATTAAATTGCATTGATCCCAAGGTCATATACTTATTACCCGGTAAATCAAGGACTCGATGTCTTCCTAGGAGAGGTTAAGAAAAAGGGACATTTCAGATATTCTGTTTTGGAAACTTCAATAGATTTTATTCACATATCACCTTCATCTCCTCCTGTGTCCTTCTCGTGCCACCTCTCAGAAAGCCATCCCTTATAAAAAAAAAAAAGAACAAAAAAAAAAAAGGAAGGAGGGAAGGAAGAAATAAAGAAAAGTTTGGCAAAACAAATTAACATACAAAAACTGGTACTGTGTACACTATTCCACACCAGGAGTGGCTTATTTCAGCAAAGTGGGTGGGGTAGGGGTAAGGGAAAAATATCTTTTCATACATCTTTTTTGAGGCCAAGTTTGGTCATTATAATTTTGCTACTTTCTGTTTTCTCTGGTTTATTGTTGTTGTTGTTGTTGTTCTTTCCATTTACTTTTTTTGAGTCATTGTGTATGTTGACCTGGTTGGTTGCTTTAATTTGCATCAGGCCATACAAGTCTTTCTAAGCTTCTCTATATTCATCATTTCTTACAGCACAATATATTGTTACAGCCACATAACACATTTCATTTTCTCCTTCCCTTTTTTCATATATTTTAATTGAAGTTCAAGTTAACACATATTTATGAAGTACCTATTACATGTAAGTCATTATGCTATGAGTGGGGAATACAAAGATAAAGAATGACCCAGTCCCTGCCGCCAATCTTCTTTTTTCTTTTTTGTTTCATTTCCTTTCTCATTGTCTTTCTCAGTTTTTCTCAGTTTTTCAAAGTGAGGATGAGCCTAATAGAAATGCCTTTCCGGAGAAAGACTGGGAAATCTTAGGGTTTCTTTTCCCCCTTTCCTAAGAAGAATCAAATATCTCCAAAGCTATTTTTTTCCTGATGTCACTCAGTCAACTGGCATTTATTTAGCTCTTACTATGTGCCAGGCACCGTGCTAAGTGCTGGTAATACAAAATATGAAAATTTTATACTCCATCCTATTTCCTAAAACATGCCAGTCCCAAAGCTCAGTTTGGTCACCTAGCATCATGAAAACATGGCTGGCATGTTTAAGTAGTCCAACATAGGCAGAACTCATTCCATTGCTCTCTCATTCTGCTTTCTAGGAGGACTAGGAGGGAATGGCTCTAGCAAAATTATGGCTATCTTGAGTTAGAAGGGACTTTCACAAGTCATCTAGCCCATCCCATCTACCATCAGACTGAATCAAATTGAATTACCTTAGGAAAATTCAACCATAGCATATCTGTTGCAGGTAAAATGGAAACCCTTGTCTAGTCTTGGCACAAATCAGAGGATTCTGGCTCATCTTAAATCTTGGGGAAAAAAAACAAATAGAGTTTATGGTTAATTGAATGTGGTAGCCATTGCTGACCTTGATTTGTTTCACCTAGTCATACATTTGTCCAACAAACATTGATGGAATGCTCAGTATATTCAATAGCAAGAGCTTCCATTGCTTCAAAGTATTCTCCTCACAACAACCCTCTAAGGCTGGTACAGAGAGGCAACATGATGGCAGAAAGAAAAGGAGCCTCAGAGTCAGGGAGGTCTCAGACTCCTTGTCTTTGAAAATGGACAATAATAATACCTGCCTCACAGGGTAGCAAGGTTCAGATGAGATAATGTATGTAAAGTGTGTGTGGAGTGCTTTGTCAACTTCAAGCTCTTGGTAAATGTCAACTATAATTACTAGCCTTGTTTTAAAGATACAGTGCACAGACATTTATTAAGCACGTCCTCTGTGCTCGGTATTGAGGATAAAAGGACAAAAATGAAAAAAAAAAAGGCCCTCCCCTCGTGTTACTTACAGTCTGTGGAGGGGAGGGGAAACAAAGACTATAGATCTAATTCTGGCATACTTTAAAGGCTACCTAGTCCAACACTATAATTTTACAGATAAGGAAACTGAAGCCCAGGCAGGTTAAATTACACAGTCACAGGTCAGAGAATATTTGAACACAAATCTGCTTCCCCCAGAGCCAGCATGTCATGCTCCAGATAAGCAAATATAAATGATAAATACAAAGTAATCTTGTGAATGAGGAAACCAAGGAGAATAAGCTCACACAGCTAGAATGGGTAGGGATACGATTCAATCCCAAACCCTCTGACCTTAGTGCCAAAGCTCTTTCCACCCACCCGCAGCCTCTGGGTAGCACTGTTCTGGGGGTACATCTCTGTTGATCATTCTAAAAGAAACAGATCAGCCAGACTTCTGCAGATAATGTTAAAATTAGCCCGGCAATATAGCAGAAAAAGTTCCTAGCCATACTATACTCATAGTTCTATAAATATGGAAAATAAATTCTTATCTATAAGAAGATAAGTCTATTTCTAGGAGTTCAAATATTGCCTTTTTAGTTTTAAACTTCGGTCATACCTGTACCCTTGTCCCAGTACACAGGGTTACTTGAATTTACGAAATTGTTCCAGGCACCAAAAGTCTGCCTGTTTTCATCTATTTTCTTATCCAAGCTCAGTGAGAACATGCTATCCATGTTTCTTTTTCTAAATTCAGTTTCAAGGTTAAAAGATAGAGGCTGACTTAAAAGCACCATACACACATGCTTCCCTGGCTAAGGAGAAAAAAGTCCCCAATCCATATTCAATTATTTGATCTCCAAACACCCCAGTTGGTCATTATTCTCTCCCCTTGAAGTAGCTGCTGTGTTACCGGATAATGATGTTGCCAACTTCACACAAACTTTAACCCACGACAGTAAAATCTGCTATTTCTTCAAATATCTTTCCCAGTTCCAGTCGTTTTTAATTTGTGCAAGGGTTCCATCTTCACTCACTCATTTTAATCTTTAGACTTGAATATGTGCTGTTTTCTTCAGTTCCTTTTACTAATGATTCCAAATTTACCAACCTGGATATCCTCCTTTCAAGACTTCTCAACTCAGCTCAAGCACAATTCTTGTGTTTTCCTCCTATACAAGAACGCTAATTAGCCTGCAAAACGGAGGAATTTAACAGGGTTCTTCAGCATCTCTCCTTTCACTCTGAAGGGCTTGGTTTTGGTAAACTGGCTTAGGGCCCTAATCTTGTTTGGGATGCCAAATTGAGGCACAAAGGAAAACAAAATATAGAGTCTGTGCACCCTGACCAGCAATTGCTAATGCATTAATTTTTTTGTGTGGAACTACCAACTCACATGAGAGTATATGATTGGATTTATCAAATAGCAGACATTATTTTAAAATCTGGAATTAGACATGGGCCACACACATAATCAGATATTCATTGGTTCAGGATAATTAGTCACAACCTGTAGGGCATTAGAAATTTTAAATTTGTTGCCCTAAATGTAAATGTTATGCAAGAACTATATTATTTTGGTTATTCTCATAACTTCACCTCCTTCCTGCTCCCCAACTCCACTTGATTTCCATATGTAATGCTTGGACTAATTTAGTTGGTAGTATTTTTCTTTCCACTAAAGTGTCTCCAACTCTAAGGAGCTAAAAAAAAACCCAAACAAACCCAAATTCCTCAACTTTTCAAAAGAATTTTAAAAATAATAATCTCACCACCAGAGGGCAAAGAACAAATACTGTAGGCGCAGGGGATCTCCACTTTTTAGACGAACGATGTTAACAAGGTCTTCTCCTATTTGTAAGGACTTTTTTTTAAGGGGTTAAAAGGTGAAGAGTCTCCAAAGAAAAGGTGCTAATTATAAAATTAATCTATAGATCAAGAGACTTCCCTATTTGTTTTATGAAGGAAAAAAAGCCCTGATAGATATCATAATCTGAGTCTGATGATCTTCCTCTTTTAGACTAATTCTGGGACCATTTTTTTTCCTTTTTAAAGAACTTTCATAAATCTCCTTGAAAGAAAGAAGGAAACAAACAAATAAGTGAAATTCCAAAAAGAGGCAGCTTGAGGTATTAGGTAGATTCAAGGCTTTACAGCCAGGGAGACCTGAGTTTATGTTCTGCTGACAGTATATATATAGTAGCTGTGTCACCGTGATCTTGTTACTCAGGCAACTCCCTAATTACAAAGGAGTTGCCAGGTCATATTTCTGCGATGATGGAAAATACTCCAAATCCTTAAAAGGTCCACAAGACAGCTTCTGTTTTAGGACACCCAGGAAATTAATAAACTTAATGTAATACTGATTGAGTTTTCAAATATAGCACCTATTAATTTGCTTTTGTTGAACTGAATTGATTGAAGATTTGTGATATATTCCAATTCATCTTCATAATAATAATTGCAAATATATTTCTCCCTGAAATTGGAGTGAGCAAGCCTGCTTTTGCGTCATGCATTGTTATTGGTTTAAATGTGCTTTGTAGATGAGGTCATATCATTCAGTTTCCTGCCATTACATAAATCTATCCTCCTTCAGCATCTCTGAGAGTTAAGACATTTCTAGTTATGGAGAGTTAATGCTTCAGGAGGTAGCCGCTTTGGGCAACTTGAATTATTTGTTCTTCCATACATAGATCTGAAATCTACCTCTAGGTAACTTCAATCCATTGATCTTGATTTTTCTTTCTAGAGCCACACAAAATGTCAATTTTCTCTTCTAGATATTTAAAGAAAACTCTCATTGCCCCCTTGATTTTCAATATTGCTCTGCAAATCACAGCATTGTAACTCTGATGCACAGATTGGAAATTTGGTCTTCTTTTCTCTACTGCTTTTAAAGCTTCCAACTACCCCCAAACATGTCATTCACTCTATTTCTTGAGTAAGTCATTTGAAGACTAGCTTTATTAACAATCCTTTCACATATATTGCCCTTTCCCACCCCACACCTCCTCCCTTGGTATCCAAAAATTCTCAACCATTTCATATCATAAAAATAATTTCCAAATTCTAGTATATGAAAATAAGTTCATTGATTTATCTTTCTACTTTTTAAAGTCTTTTTGCAACAATTATCTTGCTTCACTCTCCTAAGCCACCAGGGTAGCATAATAGATGAAGCACTGGGCCTGGAGTGAGAAAGATCTGAGTTCAAAGCTGGCCTCAGATGCTTACTAGCTGTGTAATCCTGGATAAGTCACTTAACTTCTATCTGCCTCAGTTTTCTCATCTGTGAGATGGGGATAATACTAGTACCTACCTCTCAGAACCTTTGTACAGATAAAATGATACATTTGTAAGGTACTTTGTAAACCTTAATCCTTAAGGTGTTATTTAAAAGCCTGTTATTATTATTATTATTTCTATGAGATTTGCAGAGCAAGGTTAGATCTTCCCATTTTATAGATGAAGAACTTAAGACCCCTGGAAGTCATAGATAGTCTATTTTCAGGATTATATTAGGAAGCTTTTCTAGTTTGGTAGAACTTACCAAATATGCATTCATCTGGTGTAGCCCTTCGGAACCCATGGTCTCCTAAGTGGTAAGCCCTTTAAAAAACCCAATTACCTGTTTTATGGTCTCTGGAATCCTTGCTCAATTTAATCTGATGCCACATCTTAAGTCACAGATGCTTCAGATCATAGATAGATTTGAAGAACCTTAAATGTCATTTAGGCCAACCTTCTCACTTTCCAGAGAGGCACCTGAAGCCAAGACAGTCTAATATACACACAATCAGCCAAAAGTACGATGCATTTTTTCTCCTTACTTGCAGTTTATCCAAAGTGAAGCTACTTTGGTAAAGTAATTAAAACTGAAGGTCTCAGGTGAAACAAAAATTGGGATCTTGAACACAAATCTGACAGAGTAAAGGAAAAGGTACAACATTTCTTTCTTTCTTGACAGAAAAATGAAGGCACTTTTCTCAAAGGTTTATTTAACAGTACCAGTACATCAGGGGTCTGTGGTGGGGTGATGGATGAAGAATTGGGTAGATTGAGCCTTCAGGCTTTGTATATTGGCAGTGTGACCCTGGGCACTGCTTTTCTACCTTAAAACCTAAAAATCATACCTACCCCAGGACAGTTCCTAAGTAGAAGGGAAGAAAGAGGGAATTTATTTTTCTTTTCTTTCATTCACCATTTTTATTGAAGTGAAATCAAGTTAAAATAGTGTCAAGGACAGTCTTGAAAGAAAATGGAAGTCAAAAGGGTAGCCTGAAGTGGTTTAGGGAAGGGGATTGATCAGTCCTACCAAATTTTAGTGATGGTGAATTTCTAGGCTGATTGTGTCTATCTTGTCTATTGGTCATTCCCACCCCCCACCCAGCCCTTCTTTCTAGTTGTCTGCTGTTCTAAATTACTGTCTAGGCGTCAGAATTCCAAGATCTTGGGACAATTAGCTATGCCTTAGCTGTCCATTGCTTTCACTGTGAGTGACCTTGAAAGGAGACAAAAAGTAGCTAAAAGTACTATTCCAGGCTGCTTTGGGACCACTTAAAAGAGGCAGAGGGTTTGCCATACACATACACCCCATCCAAATTCAAACACTGGTTAGTTCAAGAGGCTTTGTAAGGGAGACAGGAAAATAACTCTTCCCCATTTAAGTACATGATTTAGGGGCTTAGTGGCTTATTGACAGGGATAGGATAATAGACTCCCATTATAACTTGCACAAGACACTCCATTTTTCCGAACTCCAGAAATTTTCATTGGCAGTCCTCCATGCCTGGAATTCTCATCTCCATCTCTTGGCTTCCCTAGCTTCTTCCTTCAAGTCTTAGTTAAAACCTGACCTTCTGTAAGAGGCTTTCTCAATCTCCCTTAATGCTAGTGCCTTCCTGTTCTTATCTCCTATTTATCCTGTCTATATTTTGTCTTACAGCCAGTTCTCAGTGTAAGTGGACTACTCCGCAGAACTCTTCCCTCCCCTCTCAGGCCTCCCATTGGCCCACTACCTACAAAGCTCTGTGGGGATGCTTGCATAATGCAAATTTATTTAATGCAAGAACTGTCTGGAGGATGTTGTCTTCCTCATTAGACCCTAGGCTTGTTGAGAGCAAAAAATATTTTTACCTTTTTTTTTTGTAAGCCTAGAGCTTAGAAAAGTGGCTGACACATAACAGACACTTAATAAATTCTTGTTGATGACTTATAATCAGCCTGTTATTACATAGATTCATAAATACTTTAGGTCAGATTATATTTTCTAAAGCATAACAATGTAAATAAACACAAAACAATTCTTTTAATTAGCTTATAAGGCAGATTTCAATTCTCCTTCCCAATACACAAAGGAATTCCACTGTGTTTTTTTAATGAGTGAAGAGTAAAATAAATAATTTGTATAAAGAAATCAATCCCTTGCTTATACAAGTAGAAAATTCAGTCTCTTAATTCTTCCTCCAGATCTATCCTTGATCTTAGAGCTAAAAGCAAACTGAAGAGATTGAAATTCATAGAATCTTAGAGCTAGAAGAGATCTTAGAAATTACAAGATTTTACAAGATATTAGAGGATATCTAATCTAACCTCCTTATTTTACAGGCAAAGAAACTGATGCCCAGACAAGTTAAGTGACTCACCTAAAATCATATTGCTACTGGAGTGGAATACATAGCAAATAAAATATATTTTTTACGTTCACCAGAATGTGCAACATATAACTCAGACATCTGAGTTCTAATCTTACCTCTGACACTTCCTGTGTGACCATGGGAAAATTTCAACCTTTCCTAGCTTCAATTTCTTATAAGTGGAAGTAGTAATGCTTACACTTACAGTACTTACCACATGGGATTTTTCTAGGATCACATGAGCTAACATATGTAAAGTATTTTTTAAACCTTAAAGTACTATATAAATATCAGTTATTATTGTTATCATTAAAAACTGTATCTTCTACCTCCTAATGTGGATGTGTTTTGGCTACTATGGCAGGTTGCCTTTTCTTGAACTTGACTTCTAGTTTGAAACTCAAAAAGATATATTTTAAAACATAATGTTTTGTGGGGGACCACCCAGTAAAAACTTAATGCTTTTTTTTTCAGAGGAAAGTAGAGAATTTGAGACATTTAGTAATGACTTTAAAAATTGGAACATAAGTACTTAGGCAAAACTTCTT